CGATTTAGTACACTTTGAGTTTGACATGCAGTTGAACATTCAGGTAGAATGTGGACAGAATATATCCAGAAGGCAGTTAAACATCTAGGCCCAGAAATTGGGGAATGATTAGAAATAGAAATTTGCTAGCCATCTTTCTTTCTCCATCAAACATTCCCTGAACGCCTGTGCCAGAAACCATGTACGGATTGACTGTGACCCCCCCCAAAATTCATGTCCTTCTCATATGCAAAATGCATTTTTTCCAACTTAGTAGCTCCAAAAGTCTTAACTTATTTCATCACCAACTCTAAAGTCTCATCTAATTAATCATCTAAACCAGATATGGATGAGACTTGAGGTATGATCTGTCCTCAGGCAAAATTCCACTCCACCTGTGAACCTGTGAGTCTGTTAAACAAGACAAGTTATGTGCTTCCAAATACAATAGTAGGACAGGCCGAGGATAGACATTCCCATTCCAAAAGGGAGAAATCAGGAAGATGTGATGGCAAGTCCAAAATGTAGCAGGGCAAGTTCCATTAGGTCATAAGTTGCATGAATAAATTTCTTCCGCCCAACGCTCTGCCTTCTAGGCCCTCCGTGGGTGAGCATCATGCCCCTTGGCTGGGCAGAGCACCGCCTACATGGCTCTGCTGAGTCCCGCCCTTTGAAAACAAGATGGAGGCAGCCTTGCCTCCTGTGCCTGTGTACTCGGGGCCTGTGGTAGGAATGGCAGCTCTGCTGATCGCTGAATCACAAGTGGAGTCCTTCTTCCCTTTTCTTGCAGGTTAGCTCATTTTGAAGCTAAATTGCTCAATGGCAAGTCCTATAACATCCAAGAAGTTCAATAGCCTTCCTAATTCCATCCTTCCTTGTCTGTTCCCTTTAGTTCGAACTACACCAGTAGTACCTCTGCTGTTATAATTCCATCTCTAGTCTTGCTTGTGCTGAGATGGCTGATTAAGTCCATGTGTCACACTCATCATCTCTTTGTCAAATGATTGTTCAGCCATACCCTCATTCTCCTCAGTTAACAAGTGCTTTCATTTTTTGCCATATGGATAGACTGAAATTTTTCCAAATAATTTCTGATTCTGTTTTGCTTAACAATTCCTTCGTTAATTCATTTCTCCCCTTTTGCATTTTACTATAAGCAGTAAGGAGGAACCAAGCCACTCCTTCAAAACTTTGCTTAGAAATCTCCTCAGCTAAAAATCCAATTTCATTGCTCCCAAGCACTACCTTCCACAAACACTAGAACACAGTTCTGCCAAGCTCTTTGCCACTTTATAACAAGGATTGCCTTTCCTCCAGTTTCCAATAGCATGTTCCTTATTTCTACCTTCAACTCCACCAGAATTGCCCTTACCATGTATATTTCTAACTTGCATATCAAAACTCTTCCAGGCTCTACCCATTATCCAATTCCAAAGCCACTTCCACATATTTAGGTATTTGTTACAACTATATGTGGGGGGATTTTTTGTTTCCTTTTTGGTTTTGGTACCAAAATCTGTCTTGGTCAGCTTAAGCTGCTATAACAAAATACCATAAACTGGGTGGCTTGAACAACAAAAATTTATTTTTTTACCGTTTTGGAATCTTGGAAGTCTAAGATCAAGCCTGTTTATTTCCTGAGTAGGACTGGCTTGTAGATGGCTCTTAATGTGTTTAAGCATCCTCTCCCTAGAATCCTCCGTCCTCCTACTCCAAATCCATTGCTTGTTCTCTAGGCAGTCTGCACAGTTGTTATTCTGGCTCTTGCCTTCATCATTGTAACAATTGCCCTGCCCCTGCTCCTGGTGGAGCACATCTTTAATAACTTAGAGTGAGCGGAGATAGAGGATAAGTGTGAGGTGGTAGAGATTTTTAAACTTCGTATGTCTGAAAATGTCTTAATCCTACCTTCATTTTTAACATTAATTTGATTAAACACAGAATACTAGGCTGGAAATAACTTTCTCTCCAAAAAGTCCCATGTTGCTGTTAACAAAATTTGACATTCATATTCCTGGTCTGTTGTTCCGCCCAACCCATGGAAGCTTCTCAGAGATTTTCTTTTTTCCCTCTTGTCCTGAAATGTTAAAATTATAGGCATTGGTATATGTCTATTTTCATTTATAGTTTGAGTACTCAGTAGGATTTTAAATCTAAATTCTGTTTTTCAGTTCTGGAAATTTCTCTTAGATGATTTCTTTGATTAGTCAACATACTGGACTAATCCTCTAAATACTTTCTTCTCTCATTTTCTATCTCTTTAAGAGGCAGTACAGTATAATGGTTAAGAGACTGAATAATAAAGAATTTCAACAAGTTAATAAACCTTTGTACTTCAATGTCTTCATCTATAAAATGGGTTTAATAATAGTGCTTCTTAAGACTATTTTAAAGTTTAAATTTGTTAATTGTGTAAAGGGCTTAGAATAGTGCCTGGCAGTTGAAAAGCACTTTAAAACATGTTAGCTACTATGATTTTTTTTCATTATCATTGCCTGTCATTATCATCATTATTGTTCTTTTATTCTGAGAGACTTGACCAACTTGATCTTCCAGTGCTTCTGGTCAATTATTTTTAAATCTGCTATTATATTTTTAATTTCTAGAAACTCAGATTTTTTTCTGATTGTTTACTTTTACTGAAATATTTTTTTATACACCATCTCATATAGTAAATATTGCTTTTTATTCTTTTTGAAGTTTTTATCTGTTTCTGGCATGGTTCCTGTTTCCTGCTTGTTCGTTTTGGTCTTTGCATTCCATATTCGATGCTTTTCTCAAATATCTGAGGATTCTTGGCTGTCCTTTGATATTGAAGAGCAAGGGACTGGAAAACAAATTGGAAATGCTGAGTATGTGGACACATAACTTGTGGTCTGTATTGTAAACTTATCTAGTGGTGTCTCTCTAAAGGTCTTTTCTCTTAATGTTGTCCACTTCCCCAGGGAGGAATCCCCTATAATCGCCTAATCTCCTGCCTGTTCTGTTTAGGGATGGCTTCTGGCCTCTGAGAGCCTAGCAGTGGGAGCCAACTGTGTCTGTGTGTGTGGGAAGAGGAAGTTGTCTCACCCTGCTGCCTGAAGACTTTCAATGCTTCCCCTGTCTCACCCCTGCCCTCCACAGTGCTCCCACTTCCAAAGTTTGTCTGATTTGACCTCTCTGTTTCTCTTGCACAGTGGGGGAGGAGTAGTATCCAGGCTCTTAGGGGAAAATAGAGGACCTGGGGGCTTTACTGCTCCTTTTAAAGATTTTCTACCAATTTTCCTGTTTTTGCACAAGCATGTTGCTCCTTGCTTGCTGAAATTACTGGATGGTTTTTCAAGTATGCCAGTTGTTGAGATTTGTTAAAGTCAAGTGGTAAAAACGTGGGTGTTTATTATATTATTCTTCATTCTTTTCTATGTGTTTATTTAGCTCATAAAAAATAATTTCAGATGCAAAGGATTTATGTGATTAACAACAATGTTTATTGTAGCATTCTTGGACTGCAAACAACCTAAAGGTCCAACAGTTGGGAAATGATAAACTTAATTTTAATTAAGCTGTAGGATATAATAATGTACAGCCATGAAAATCTTATTTTTGAAATATGATTAAATGTGGAATACTCACAATATCGTAAGTTAATTGTCTTGTCTGCAACCAGAATAAGAGTTGTTCAGTACAGGTTTTTGTTGAGTGCTTAACGTGCAGCAGGTGTCATTCTCTGCATTTTACATTTTTAATTCATTTATTCCTTACAGCAACCACCCAATGAAGTGAATATTTTTTTTCTCCATTTTTCAGATGATAAATGGAGACATAAAGAGGTCCAATAGGTGGTCAGCGTAACCACAGACAAAGCAACTAGTGTATAAAATCAAGATTTGGACCCAAACAATCTGGTTGCAAAATTCAAACTCATAAACATTATGCTGTATTGTACTATATGCCTCATAAATATTTATTTGCATTGGAAAAATAAACTTATTTTTAAAATTTTAAATTTATATTTTGTAAGATACTAGTAGTTTTCTAGGAATGATGGATTCAGAACTTAAATGATATAACTGGTTTCTAAAACTAGCATAAATTAAAATGCAAAATCTTTTTGGAGGTCTTTTAGGAGATGATTAAAATATATGACGGTTAATGTATTTTCCACCTGATTAGTTGACATGATTCTAAGCATAAATAAATTAGATCTTGAAAAGTCAAAGTTGAAATTTATACTGTTAATGACATAGCACAAAATTATGTTTACTAATCCAATGCCTCACGTTATCTTTATGATTCTGGCTAATAAAAAATACAATTATTGCATGTGCTTCCCTTCTCTAAGAAACTTATATACTTTTCTCTTTGCATTATTCCTATAGTACTTTTTACCAAAAAAAAATGTTTCTCATGTTTTTTGTAGTCACTCAATAGGTAAGCTTCCAAACAAGAAAATGTAAAATTGGAATGCCTTGTCTCTTCATTTAATCAGATTTTAAATTCGTTTTTATTGTTAAAAGAAGAGGCATAAGCTTGCAGGTGCAAAACTAATGTTTGATATGGGCAAAATAAATGTTTTTATTCTTAGTTCTCATTCACTCATTATTTCGGTGAATGAGTTTTTTGAATTCTAGAATTACAAACCAGTAAACAGATTGCGCACATTCTTTATTTTTCCCTTGTGGAAACATAACAATAATTACATGTAATATATAAATGCTAATTTTAGACTTTGCTTTAAGTGTATAAGTTTTAAATATGAGCACAGCCTCTTGTTGCCATAGCAGTTGATTTTTGTTAGTGTAAAAATTTGAATATTTTTTTTAAATTCTAGTTCATTGCCAGAAATTTAAACTGCACATTTATTATATTTACCCCTTTTCTCTGTTTTAAATGTCTATTAGTCATGACTTTATGCTTGAACCAATTTTAAAGCATCAATTTTAATACATTGGAAAGTTCTAGTATCACTAATATTATTACTTAAGAAAATTGTCATAGTTTTTACCACACATGCTCAATAATGTATCATTCTGTTTTCATAGGAACTTCCTGCACCATTACTTGATGATAATTGTAAAAAAAAATTTGATGAAGACGTATATAATCATAAAACACCAGAATCTAACATTAAGATGAAAATAGCATGGCGTTATCAGTTATTACCCAAGATGGAGGCAAGTCAACACACAAACTATTTCTAAAATTTGCAAATGTATTTGTTTTCGTTTTATGGAATCTCTTACTGCAGACATGTTGTTCTTTAAATCTAATACAATGTATATTTATTTAAATGACCAGATGCTTCATTTCTAGAGGATTTAATCAAGATGATATTTTCTTAAAAATAATATTATAGCAAATTGTTTTGTTTTTTGCCAAAATAGATTATTTCATTTTTTCCATAATCTCCATATAGAATCTTTTATTCTAGAGCTGCGAGCCAGAGTAAGTAAACTAACAAAGCCATTTCTGTCCAGCTCAGTTACCTCTAAATAGTCAATATAAGTGGTTGTTCTTTGTAATTAGTATTTTTACTCCTACACATTTTCAACCATTATACTTTGAAACTCAGGTATCTGGTAACCAGACCTATCCAGGATTGACTAAGAGACAGGCAGTTCAGGGAAATTTTCTGAGAGGTCAGAACAGATGTCAGTAAGTCCGCCCACTAAAGCTCGTGAACTCTGCTCCTGGTGAAGGCTCTGTTCATTTATTAGCTCCCTTGTTCGTTTGTTTGCTTCATTCATTTTTCAGAACACTCTCATGTCTTACCAGACATTATCACACTGGAAGCAAGAGAGAAATTCCCATAGTCCACCCTTCTCTAGTCTGCCACGTTGACAGCAGGGTTACCTTTCCCAAGGGCAGAAATATGATTACAACACTGCTTAGCTGCAAATGCCCAGTTTGGTTTCCTCTTTCCACTACCTCCTTCTAAATGCATGGCTGACTGTCAGTCACAGTACTCTCCTGCCAAGCTTAGACACAGCCTTAGAATTCTCTGTAGAGTGTTCTGGGTGATCACACCAGTTAATGAGAGTTAGTGGTACATGAGATGAAACCTGTTTGCCATTGTAATGCTGCAATATGAAATATAAACTTCTCAAGATTGTATACGAGATCTCTACAATTTAATACAAACCTACCCTTTTAGTCTCCTCCCTGTGAGTGGATGTAAAACACTGTATCCTCCCATCCTGTGAGAATTGCTCCTCACGAATTGCTTGTATTTCTGCTGATCATGCTTTTCACTTTCTTATTCACCAACTCATCCTTCTCCAGGTGCAAACGTTACTACCTCTCACAGCTTTCCACACATAATTATCTAGTTTTTTATTTTTGTTTTCATAGCACTTCATGTATTTTAAAGTATTTCTATATGTTGTTTTATAATTGTTAGGATAACTCTTTTCCACCAGACAGAATTAATTCTGTGAAGGCAGACAGCTTATTTTATTTTCTCTGTATCTCTAACACCGATGTTAATGCCCATGTTGTACTCAATAAATATTTAGTGAGTGATAAATGTATTTATCCATTCACTCAGCAGATATTGATTAAGCATCAGCTGTGTACCAAATATAAAATATGTTGTAATAGATACGTATTAAGCAGTGGTAAATTGTTCTAATTTAGATGGGAAAGGTGTTTGAATAATATGATTTTTAAGCGGTGATTTAAATGACTATGAACAAACTACAAACTGGAGAGAGGATATTTACAACTCCTATAATAGAATAAAAAATAAATTTTCATGTATGAAGGACTTCTAAAATGAATAAGGAATAGTCTACCTATTGAATTTTTTAAATGGGCAAAAATATGAAAAGGAAATCCAGATGGCTGTTAAACATACAAAAATAGATGCCCAATTTCAGTTACAATAAGACAAATACAAATCAAAACTACACCGACCTGCCATTTTTTCATATTAGACTGTCAATAATCTCAGATCTTTGGTAAGACACTAAATTAGCAAGGATGGAGGAGACTAGGAGCCTCATACTTTGCTGGTGGAAATTTAAGTAGATACAACTTCTGTGAAGTTTAATTTGGTAGTATCCTTCAGAATTACCAAAACATATACCGTTTAATCCTTTTGGAAGTTTACATGATGAATATATTTACTCAGATGTAAAATAAAACACTATATATGAGCTATTTATTTAGCATATTTTATAATAGTAAATGATTGGAAGTAACTATCCATCAGTAAGCAACTAGTTAAATAAACACTGGTATGTGTGTATGGTAGAATGCCATACATTTGTATTAAAAAAATAAAAGGAAGCTCTGTGTAATCAGTAGTTGTTGCAGGCATAGCCTAGGTTGGATGTGCCTGAGATCTGGGTACAAGGCGTCGGAATAAGTATAGTTATTCTGTTTAGGAAAATGGGAGTTGAGTGACAGAGTTTATAACAAAGAATGCAGAACTCGCACATGAAACCCTAATGGCAAAGAATTTATATCTTTCATTTGGCATATTCACTTAAGTAACTGGGCTTAACAGTGACTCTTTTTGTAAAGAGTGACTGTATTCTAAATTTTCTACTGGTGTGTTCTGAAGGAGTTACCAAAAACATAAGCTCTAAGTTAAATGTGGCTTTTTTTGGTAAAGACAATATACAATCCTGTTTTAGATTATATAAGTCCTTGTGTCTTCCATTTCCTTTATTTTTACTCTTTCCTCAGCTAGGTTTTGGTCTTTTCATTGGTTGTTAGCATTCTTCAAGTGAAATTGTCAGTGAAAATGCAAATGAGTGAAACTTGCAGCCGTTTTTCTTATCTCTTGTTATAAAATCTGTTTAAAGTTGGAAAGTTCTTTATTTCTTTAAAATTCATTTTTTCTTTTTATAACTACAGATGCTATTCTTGTCCCCCTTTACATATAAATGAGCAGTCCTTATTCCATTCTCCCCTTTCAATTTTGTGTGCCCACAGTTATTTTAATTATCTATGGGAGTAAACGTCTCAGAGGTTACATATTAACATATAAACCCAGTGCTCAGTTTTCAAGGTTCACAGCTGTTTTAAAAACTGTGCTCTTACAATGGTCTTCCCCAAATGACTTACTTTCCCCTTTTCTTCAAGTCTCCGCTAAAATATCACTTTATCAGGAATGTCCTCCTTTGTCATTCCATATAAAATACAACTACTCTATCATCTTTCACTGCCTTATTTTTCTTCAGGGCACTTATCATCATCACCTAGCAGGTTAAACACAGCATCTGTCTCTACCAGAATGTGACTAAATGAGAAAAGGGACTTTGACTATTTTGTTCCACTGGCATATAGCGGGTACTCAATAGTTACTTGTTGAGTAGTACATACGCGGATGAATTATATGGTGTGTGAATTAAATGTGAAACCGAGTTCAGTTGCATTAATTAATACAAATGAAATAACAGTTTATTTTGAATTTATAGTCAATGGTCAAACTTAAGTTTACTGGTATTTACAAGTGAGTTCTGTCAAGTTTAGAAAATAGAATCATCTTCTGGCTTCTTCACTTTTCTTTGAAATGTCACCAGCATGTGTATTTGGCTGTCACAGACATTTTACATATGGTGATTTGCCAAGGCTGATAGACAATGGTGAACACTCATCATCATCATCTATGTTATTAATCCAGACCTTACTTTGCCATTATCAGTTTAAGAACAGCAATGACACAAACCTGGGTTTTCTGTATTTTGCTTGGGTCAAAATATAGTCAACACTATTATGAGTAAAGATTAGGCAAGTAATCCAAAACTAGCTGTGTCAATTATCAGAAATGCTTTTTAGTATAAGTTGTCGTGAGGTCCTAAGAGTGTAGTCATATTCCCATTTAGGGAATGCCAAAAGGATAAGCATATACACACTAAATCAGAAACACTAGCACAGCAAAGCATAAAGCAACGCCTCTTCCAGTTTGAGGGGTCGTTTTTAAAAGGCCCCCTTCCTCGTCCTGTGATTTCAATTCTCTCCTAGATGCACCTGTCCTCTTCTTTCCTGTCCAATCATCAAGTCCTATTTTCTCTTCCTCCCAGGAATGGCTAGCCTGCAGCATATGCTGAGACTTCATTTCTTCAGCATTGTAGAGCTCTACTACCAAGGCCTACAATGGCTCCAGCAATTCATGACAGTGTATTAGATCTTTATTATGTTCAATCCTCATTACACTTTGGTTTTCCATCTTATTGGTTCAGCCACAGCAATCCTGTGATGGATGTGTGCATGTTGTCAATGGCAACAAATATCATTTTTTCAATAAGGAAATGTAATTACAAAGGATAGTGATAAAACTTCTGATTCTCTATTGGATCTTGACACAATAATAATAATAATATTTACATAGTGCTTTACAATTTACAGAATGTTCATAGCCAGTACTGCATTAGATTCTCACAACAGCCTAATGAAATATTTATTATTAGCTCTAATATCTGGTGATTGAACTGAGGCTCAAAATGGTTCAGTTCCCACTTGGGTTCTTGCTTTCTGTTATGCCATACCAAGAAAAAAGAAATGATAATCATAAGAAACTGTCTTATTTAGACTATTTATGGTGCAGCTTTTCTCTGAAATTATTTTCTTCCTAACATACTGTAGGTGGGAGATTATTCTTCCAGGCCTCCGCATCAAAGTTTATTTTCCTTTAGCAACAGTAAATTTTTACCAAACCATTACAATTTACTCTTTTCCACAGTTAACAAAGTTAATGGGTAGTTTATGAATGTGAAATACAAGTTTTTATAATTTAAAACTAAAGCAAGATGTTCTTATTAAACTGACTAGTTATTAATGATAGTTTGAATTTTTTAAATGCATCTTTTTTGGGTGTGCAGTTGACAGTTTTTCATGGAGTATTATTATTATTAGGTTTAAAGCATTTAGTTATCTTTTTTAGAGGAAATATTTTGTCTTTGTTTTATAATTCTAGGCCTCAAAAGATTTCACAGCACTTCAAAAATCTGATTATATGTTAATGACAGGTCTCTTGGGTAGAAAAAACTTAGAAAATTGTTTTTTCCTTGAAGAGTATTTTTCATTTTCATTTTTTATTGAAGGAGTAAGGTTTTTCATAATTAAAAACTTTTTAATGTCTACTTTGTGAATATTTTAGTTGCCATATCTAATCTTAATTTCTAAAAAGATTAGTAACAATTGTAATAAAATCTTCTAAATTAATTTTTACATTTTAATGAATTATCTGTTTTCTGTATATAAACTGTCACAGCATGAAATCGATTTTCTGCCTTGATTCATCCCAAATCTAAGATTTCTATCACATGAATATTATAATTAGAAACATTAATAGAAACCGGCAGCTTAAAAAGCATACTTCGCTTTTTGACAATTTAACGTATTTCTCTGAGCGCACAGGACTTCAAGAACCTTCAGTCCACTAATAAATTTATTAACTCAAACTTAAAAGAAGTGGAAAGTCTGTCTTTCTTTCTCTCTCCCCATGGCCAGTCTGCTAAAATAGATTATTCATGCTTATTTGATTCAGGTAGGCTTTTGCAAGCTTCCCTACTAGGCCTGGGAATGTGGTACATTGAGGCCCTTTCAGAGGCTTCTGACACAGACCAAGCTTTTATTGCATGGTGTTTTATTATTACCAAATCCTAGTCTCCACCCAGTTTGTAGGCACTCTGCTTATTCTTTTGAATCAGGAAAGGTTATCACCTACCTTAATCCATGCAGCAGTGTGGATTAAGGACACCAGTGTGCCCCAGGATTCTCAAAGAGGATCCTGGAAACTTCTTGTTTCTTCTTTTTTGCTGTCTTTACTAAATTCTATTGGGCCTTAGAGGGATTTGCATCTGAAATGGGCAACCTGGTGTTTTTCTCAATGAAGACATCAGATCAAAGTTCAGTTAGTCAAGGCCTTTCTAAAACATTAAGGGGGCTTGGAGTTACACAATAAAAAGATGAGCTCTAGCAGAGATTGCAGTAAAAACATTCTGAACTATAATCCGGATAAAGAATAGATTATAGGCCAAAGAACAGACCTTGTTTAAATTGCTTTAGACTAATAACTTTACATTTTAAAACTTTACACCCTATTTTGAAAAAATAAATTTTAACATCACATAATTTTTTGGTGGATACTTTCATTGTAAATAGATAAATCATCTTTTGGGAACCATACTTCTCTATATTGTATTGTATAGATTAAGCCAATTAATAGGTCTCTTTCATTAATATAAATAAATAGTACCTTATAGAGAGATGAACAATCATTTTATTTAGAAAATAAAAGTCAAACCAACAGACTCTGAATCTGAGAATACTGTTTTTATTAGGTTTACATTTTTTTATTCTACATTACTGTATAATTTGATGTTTATAGGCATTTAATTTAAGAATATGAATCCTTAAAGTCTTAAAAATGCAAATATCTAGTGTCAAGCAAATGTTTATTTTTTAATCTAAATTATAAAGTTGTCAATTTCTTAGTAAAATAAGAACCTACCATGTATAGTTCTTCAATTTCTGCAGAGATTATCTAGTTTTGTTGAATGTTCTGAAACTTGTCTGTTTTGTAGCATTCAGGACAGTTGAAATAATGTAAATTTAGGTCAGAGATTTTATTAGAAACCACTGCCAGGTGCAATCTGTTAGTACAATAATAGTTCAACTTTGGATAGCAGTGTATATCTATTTCTAATGTGCTGAATGAAAGAAATCAGCCCAGAGTTCATTCAAAGCAATATCAGAATAATGTTATATTATTAGGATATTACTATCCTATGCAAATAAATTCAGCATCAGGAGTTGTTAGAGTTTCTTAAGAGAAAGACAGTTTGTTGGAGAAATTGTTAGTGGAGGGCACAAAAGAGGAATTATCAATGAACTAATGATTATGCCAGATTTCTGATTTGTCTAATGTAGCTTAGATATATTCTCCCACTTTATCAAGTGCTTTGTTCCCATCTGGAATACCCTAGTACAGTTTGTACTATAAATTTAATATTAAGTTTGTAAGAAATGTTGAATATATATATATATATATGTATATATATATATATATACAGACTGTCTTGTGAGAATTTAGTTTTAAAATGGTGTTCAGTTTAATATATTTAAATAGCTAGTGTCTTTTGGGCCCCTCACTATTAAATTCATTTGGCTTAACTTTTCAATGGTTCTTAGCTACTACCTATTTAATTTGTCATTAAAACCTGGAATTTTTAAAAAACTAATTAAGACTTATGTATATTAAATTTCTTTGAATGTATGCTTCTTTGAAATTTAATGCCTGTGTATATCAGCTCTTCCTTATTACATTAAAAATGCATAAATATTTGTGTTTTGCTGAGTGCAGATCAAATAAATTATAATTTTTAAAAAACTATTTTTTAAACTAAGAATATTGGGTTTTTTTAACAGGCTGGACCAGTATCATCTTCAAGATTTGGTCACTATTATGATGCATCAAAAAAGATGCCACAAGAATTAATTGAAGCTTCAAAGTGGCATGGATTTTTTCTTCCAAAAAAAATATCTTCAACTCTTAACGTAGAACCGTGGTAAGTCAATGACCCACTTCTGACTTCAAAGGTTAATAGAATGCCTTTTTACTACATTCTTTGAAAGAATGAATATCAAAAGTACATGTTCTAATGATAAATGTTAGTTTCTACATAATACGTAACCTTAATTGTGCATGTTTTATATTACATTATACTTGGTTTTCTTCTTTTTCTGATCTTGTAACTGTTGGACATGCTATTACTCTTAATTTGCAACTTAAAAAGTCCAGATACCAAATCTACAATACCTGCTGTTTTTATTTTCAAGAAAATGTGAAATAGTTCTAAATCAGGGTCTTTCAGCCATAAATGCAAAAAGATATCTAAATATTATTCCTTGATAACAATAGCAGTGATAATGGTATGAAGTAATGCTATTTCTCCATGTTTTTCATTAAATGCTCTTTCAGAAAGTAAACAAGTACAAGTTTTCCAATATTTTATTTATTATGGCTTTTCTATTTCTAGTTATGCTGTAAATAAAGCCACCTGTATATTTTTAGATGGCTTATGAGAACTTAGGGTTTGAGTTTTACAATGAAGAGTTTAAGTATTGAGCCAACACATGTTTAAGTGCTAACTTTAAGATAAAACTCTGAAAATTACAATACTTGACATTGAATAATTTATAAAAGTGTTAAGAATATTTCATTTCAATTCTTATTGCAGTTGGATCAAGGGAAAGTCATTACAGAATATGTTGTTACCTCTGTTTTCTTTCTTTTGCACTGTAAAGACGTTATTTTCAAAGTGAGATGACTTATTAAACAGATTTCATAGACAGGAAGTTGTGAACTGAAGTGACTTAAAAATCTATATTTTTTTGAAGTATTACCTAAGAATTTAGTGAACACTATCCTGTTTATTTTTATTAAATCTGTTTCAAGAAAACAGTCTTCGTATGGCTTTCTCTCAGTGGTGCTTTGATGTGTCCTTAGTATCAGTAGCTGCTGTTAATGACTGACTGCTATGCGCCAGTCGCCCTGTTAGGTACTCTACCTTTGTTATCTATCCCATAAAAGTAAATATTCCCATTTTCCAGAAGAAGATACAGAAATTCACAGAAGTAATTCATCTGAGGCTCAACTATTAAACGATAGAGCCGGGATTAACCCAAGTCAGAAGCTCTCTTTTTCTTTTTGCTTTACTGCTTCAAAAGATTTTCATGTCCTTCATCTTCTTTACCTTCCTGTGTTCTGGAGGAAAGAGTGCTGACAAAGACATATTTTAAAATCTTCGTTCTGATATTGAGCCCGTCCTATTGTTAACCTTGGGCAAATCCCTTAAATTCAGTGAAAATAAATATCTTCCTGTGAAAAATTGAGGAGGGGGGGAGAGGGTAATACCACTTGTACCTACATCACTAATTTTTTTAATTAAGTTTGAATTATTATATTGATCATACTAGTACCTAATTTTTGCTATTCACTGAACCAGACATACATGTACATACAGGCTTGGGAAATAGGTCAAAATAACTTCAATGATTTCCTAAATAGTAAATGATGGAACCAGACCCTAAGTCAGTTCTCTCCAACTCAGAAATGTGTTTTAGCAGAGATACTAAACTGCCTCCATTCATGGAGTGCTTAGGGAAATAAAAAATGTAAAATGTACATTAAGTATGATGTAAGTACATGAAAAATAGTCTTGTGAGACATTTTGTAGTTAAAGAATGTGAATATTTTAAGGCTAAAACTTTTCTTAAGTCAGAAAGTATAAGGTTTTTGTTTATTCATTCAACGACTAAAGAGAGGGGAAATGAACGTTTGTCGAATAACTGTTTCATCTCAGGCACTGTTCCAGGCTTTTGATCATAGGATATCTAATTTAATTCTCCCAACAACCCTCCCAGAAAAGTAATATTATCCCAATTTTATAGGAAGCTTGAGGTCAAAGATGCTAAGTAGCTTCCCACTATCGCAGACTATAAGTGACTAAGCTGACACCCAAACCCAAGTCCCCAAAACCTCTGCCCTGTGTTCTGTACCAGGCCGCCTCCACTTCTGCTACAGTACATTGTACAGCACACGACACTGGGTGCCAGAAAAATGACACCTTGATCAGTCTAGTTCTATAGCCTTTAAGGTACATTTTTCCAGAATACTTTTTGAGAACTAGGGTTTTGCACAGAATAGGAAAATTTATAGATTTTAATTATCAAGGCAGTATTTCATTTCATAGTAGTTAACTGATAATTCACTTATTTCATATTAAACTTAAATGCTTAATTAAATGTAATTAAACTTTAAACATGTAATTAAATTAATTTCGAAAATGGGTACTTTACCATGTGAGATTTATTTTAATTTATGAAAAGCGTGTGCTCATTTCACTAAAATGAACTTTACTGGTTCATTTATAAAACAATAAAGCTAAGCCTTACAGTTGTCTATACTCTTCCTATAATTAAGACCAGAGGATATAACTGTATCATCCCACTATCATATGGGAGGATATAACATATAATTTCATAATTTCTAAAGGCACTATTGAAACATGTAGTTTTTTTTTTTAACAGTAAGAAAAACGGAAGGTAATTTGAAATTGTTGGTTGGCTTGCTTATAGAAAATGTTCATACATACAGTTTAAACTTTCAAATTAAAGCCTAGGTATAAAAACCCGAGATGTATTGCAGCGATATTATCCAGATGATTCTGTTTTGATATTTTATTGTCATAAATCAGATAATCTGAGTCACAAGAGAATGATAGAAAAATTGATTTTGAGGGTAATTCTGTAGTCTAAGATTTTTTAAATTTGACATGTTTTGAATTAAGCTTTACTAACAAGTATGCCCAAACACACTTCTCTTTCCTCACTAGAAAGATTCCTCATTCTTCAGGGTATGGATGGTATCTCAACTTTCTTATTAATGAATTTACTAACATAGTCCTTAAAGGTACTGTTACAGACTGAATGTTTGTGTGTCCCAAATTCTTATGTCAAAGCCCTAATTGCCAGTGTAATGGTTTTTGTAAATGGGGCCTTTGGAAGATAATTAGGGTTATACGAGGTCATGAGGGTGGAATAGGATAGGATTCCAGGTCTGATAGGATTGGAGTCCTTAAGAAAGAGGCAGAAACACTGAGCTTCCTCTCTCTTCTTGGATGCGCACCCAAGGAGGGCCATGTGAGCACACGCCGTCTATCTGCTCCCCAAATGGGGAGCTCTCACCAGACATTAACCCGCCAGCACCTTGATCTTGGACTTCTTGTCTCTAGAACTACAACAAAATAAATTCCTATTGTGTAAGCCACCCAGTCTGTGGTATTTTGTTATGGGAGCCCAACCTGACTAATATACATATTATACTGTAAAATCTTACTTTTTTTTATTATAGATATGCCAGGTCTTGAATATTGAGTTCACATACAGTTCATACTAAATAGAATAAATGTGTTTTGATATGTTTCTTTGAAATTCAACATTTTATTTTTAGATATGAATATTTACCCTAACAGTAGCTAGTAGTTTCTTATATTAGCTAAAAGTTTGTGTTGATTAAGTTGAATGAACTGAACTCTGAAACAAGCAGCTATCTTTCCAAGAGAAAATCAGTGGAAAGAGGATAGGAATAATACAAATATTGTAGAAATCAGTCCATTTTTCTTCTCTTGCCAAGTCTCCTTACCGGCTTAAATGAAAACTCTGTATAAGCCTTCTGCCATATTTTCCCAGGCAAATCATAGTTATGCCTCCCTGCATTCCTGCTTATATTTGTTCCTGTTTCTGTCAGAACATTTAACACTGCGCTGTAATTATTTGTCCTGTCTACATACTCCTCTTCCCTCTCAAGTATTGGAAATCATTGAGGAAAGGGCTATGCTTTCAGTATTTATTCCCTGACTCTAGGACACAGGTATTAAGTTGATAGTTGGTAAATTAGTGGACCAATGCCCAAAAGTATGGTAATAAGTCAGATTAACTGTTTCCTTGCTCTTAGCACAAAGATTTAGTGGGATGAAACCAATAAGCAAAACATAGCCATGTAAGAGTATATTTTATTTCAAAAATATAGATCTCTTAGATTGAGAAGCAGCAAACCACCGTATTCAGAAGTTGCAAGCAGAAAATTCACTCATGAGGAGCTTCTAGGTAAGACTAAAAGTTCAGAACAAAAGTCATAAAGTTATAGAACTAGCTATAAACTATTAAAAGGATATAGTGAATGATATATTAATACAAACGTCAGAGCTGGGGGAAAGGCAAGATGTAAGTGTGAGAAAGAATTTTACCTATTTGCTTATCTGCTGGCGATAAAACTAAAGTGAAAAGATAATATCTGAAAATTTATAGTGAGAACTATTATCCTTAACCTCATTTTGACCAATGAAGAGAAACCACTTGCTTACATGTTTGCCTTCCTGTTCTTCAAGGGTCTTCAGCGATGCAGAATTTATTAATAGTTGATCATTCTAGCATCCTGGCACACTATCTTCATTGGTATACATGGTTTTTGTTTTATTGTTTCCTACCTTATTCCCATATTCCTAAGCCCAGCCATCTTCCCCATACCATACTCTCTCTTATTTATGTATATCCTTTCAAATTTCTATTCTTCTTTCAATAAAGTAATCTCTGACCCCTGACTTCTGCCCCTCTCTCTCTCTCTCTCTGTCTCTGTCTTCATCCACTCTATCAGCACATCCTTTCAACTATATCTTCAACATATCCAGAGCCTGATCACTTCTTTCCTGCCACCTGTTGGCATCTCAGTGGCAGCTCAGCTCGGGCCGGGAATCGAACCGCTGTTGCTCAGAGCTCAAACTCTTGAGCAAGCTCTTAACCAACTGAGCCACTCGGCCAGCCCACCTGATCACTTCTTATGTCCTTTACCATGCTAACATAAGTCACCCACATTTCTTGCCAGATCTCTTGGAATAACTTCCTAATTAGTTTTGCCTCTTGCTCCTTGGTGGCTCCTGGTTTTCTCCAAAACAGCCCTAGTGAACTTTTTTAACATAGCACCTTCCAATAGAATATTCTGCAGTGG